GCTTTGCTAAGCTTGTTCTAAGTAGGTGCTTTAGACCACTGAGCCATCTCACCAGCCCCTCGGATTATTATTTTTATTTTTTTATTTTTTAATTTTTGCAGAACCAGGGATTGAACTCAGGTCCTTGTGCTTGCCAGGGAAGCACTTATTCTACTGAGCCATCTCCCCGGCCCCAATCCCCGATTTTAAACATCTTCTAAGCCAAGAGGTACTGGGCTGAGCATCAGGACTTTTTCCTCGTTACTTTGAGTTTTGCAATGGGCAGCAGGGCGCAGGGGCAGCTGCCTCCTCTAGCCTGTCCTTTGCCCTCAGGATTAGTGAGCAAATTAATATGGAGACAGATTGGGACCAGTCGTGTCCCGCCACCATACTTACTTTTTTACTTCACAGAATGTACTCTGATTTTTAAAATTCTAGTCTATGCTCTTTTTTACTTAGGAAATGGATGTCTTCTATTAATGCGCGCTGCGGGCGCCGCTGGCGCTCTGGCCCTGGGTGCTGGTCTCGGCTCACCTCGGTGGTGCTCAGCAATCTCTGCTCCTTACCTAATGCCTCCCCCACCATCCTATGCTCCCAATGCCTACATTTTCTCTGTACTGTTGCACTCCACACGACTCCTGCGGTGGTGGCATCCAGCGTGTGTTGAGACATCCGAGCAAGGTGTGGACTGTAGAGTTCTATGTTCTAAACTGAAAGGCTCATCAATAATATTCTATAGGAATTTCCCCAGTTCAGTTAAAGTGTTTGAAAGCTCTAACATATAACAAACAATAAATGTACCAGAGGGAGGAAAAAAAGTACTAACAGATATTTTTGGAAAGTTGGATAAAGAAAAAAATATTTTAGGGCAGGGAGAAATCATGTAGTGGGGCCGGGGAGATGGCTCAGTGGAATAAGTGCTTCCCTGGCAAGAGCAAGGGCCTGAGTTCAATCTCCAGTTCCACCAAAAAAAAAAAAAAAAAAAAAAAGAAAGAAAGAAAAGAAAAAAGAAAAAAAGAAATCATGTAGTGAGTTCTTTCCATTTAGTTACTTACTTACTTACTTATTTATTTATTGAAACTTGGTGGCACACAACTATAATCCCAGCACTGAGGAATCCTGAGGTAGGATAACAAATTCAAATCCAGCCTGGGCAATTTAGTGTCTGTGTCTCACAATAATACTTTTTTAAAGGGCTGAGGATGTAGCTGAGGATGATTAAACTGGGGATGGGTTTAATCCCCAGTATGAAAGAAAAGAAGAAGGAAAGAAAGAAAGAGGACGAGGAGGAAGAGGAGGAAGGGGGGAGGAGAAGGAAGAGGAAGGGGAGGGAGAAGGAGGAGGAGGATGAGAAGGAGAAGAAGGAGGAGGAGGAGGAGAAGGGGAAGGAAGAGGAGGAGGGGGAAGAGGGGGAGGAGGAGGGGGAAGAGGAGGAGGAAGAGGGGAAAGAAGAGGGGCAGGAGGAGGGGGAAGAGGAGGAGAAAAAGAAAGAGGAGGAGAGGAAGGAGAAGAGGAGGAAGAGAAAGAGGAGAGGAAACGAGGAAGAGAGAGGGGGGGAAAAAAGAGGAAGAGCAGAGGTAGGGAGGGGCGGCAGGGAAGAGGAAGCAGTTTGGGGCTAGGGATCAAAGCTTTCCATTCTCTGATCCAAACCTTTGAGTCCTTTTTAAATTTTAACTCCAGCAATGTAGGCATTGTCCTCTTCAGGCAAACCTCACCCTCCACTGGTCCTCCTGTAACCTGCCCCAGGGTAGCTCACCCTCACAGCTGCGCTCCCTGCCCCCACCCTACCGCACTGTCCCTTGGAGGCTCCCCCTCCCAGGAACCCGGCCAGTTCAGCTGAGAGCCAGACTACATGGTGACATGCAGACCCTGAGTGCCCAGCCAGGGAACTCCTGCCCCACTCCCGGCCTCCCGTGATCACAGCGGGCCCAAGGAGGGCTTGGATGGATCTTCACTGATGTCCAGTTTTGAGACCAACATCAAGGGGACATCTCCCCTAGGGCCCCCGGGATGGCACGCAGTCACTGAAAGTGTGCGCTCACCTTCCGCAGCACATGTGGTGCTTGTCTGGCATGTCCGAGCCCAGCAGGAGGACACAGTACTTCTTGGCCAGGTATTTCTGGGCTGCTGCTAACTTGCTGGAGACCAGCTCCATCTCCTTCTTCTCTACAAGACCCCTGGGGGAGAAAAGAAGACAATATAGATTAACTTGAACCAGTGCCTCGTGTTGATGAGTAAAAAGCCAGACGCCAACTACTTTGAAATAAACACTAGGGAGTCGTCAGATTTTCACTGTATCACTTGTTCCCTTGGAGCTGTGGTACGGGGAGCTGCTCCAAGCCTCTTGATAATGATTAGCCTTGGCAATCACTATCTCGAGGCTGCGGTGAATCTTCCCTTGTTTCTAATTCTTTACTTTTTTTTTTTTTTTTTTGGAACCGGGGATTAAACTCAGACCTTTGCACTTGCTAGGGAAGTGCTTATTCCACTGAGCCATCTCCCCGGCCCATGCTAACTATGCATCCTCAGTTTCACATGCAGCTAGCCCTAGCCTTTGCAGAGAAGCTGGGCTCATAAAGTTACCACACTGGTTGCTCAGCTTACATCGCTTACATTGTCCACCTTTTTTTCCCAGCAGGTGCTTGCTACCATAGCAACTTTCCTGCTCTAAGAGCCCGGCTGTGGAACCCTGCCAGGGAAGGCTTTACAGGAGAAGCAGGGTCGGAATTATGTATTCGATTCTTTATAAAGCTGCTGTTCAGAAATATTTATCTATCCCTCTATGCTTTGCAGGCTGATTATGTAAGAGAGTTTTGTGCTTTGAAAACAGTCTGCCGCCGTGAGTGCATGATTTTGTCCAGCATTCCTAGCAGCCAAGTCATGGGTTGGTTCCGCATGGACTGGCGAGGGCAGCTGGGCTCTTGGAAAGTTCCAGGGCTTTGGAAAGGTCACCGAAGGGAGAAGCATTATTCTGCTCTGGATTCTGAGTGCCCGGGTTTTTGCCTTGGGGGACTCAAGCCACCTCTGCCTGAAGCAGTTCTATCCTTTAGAAATAACCCTCAGGTGCCCCGCGCCCCCCCTTTCAGGCAGAATGTCATTTTAGCCAGATCTGTAATTAGTTTAAACTTTTATAGGTTTAAAATTAGCAGCATAGGGCTGGGGAGATAGCCCAACAGCCTAAGCGTCTCCCTGGCAAGCACAATGTCCCAAATTCAATCCCAGGTACCGCTAGATAAATAAATTAATTAAGGGCCGGCCAAATAGCTCAGCAGATTAAAGCACCTGCAAGCAGGCACAGGGGTCAGGGTTCGATCCCTGGGTCTGCCCCGGGGCATGCTGAGACTATAGAGACTGGGCATGGTGACACGCAGCCGTTATCCCAGCTCTTGGGAGGCTGTAAACAGGCGGGCTCACTACAAGTCCGATCTAGTAGTGACACCCTGAACACCCTGTAGACCCTTCCCTAAAATACTAATTAATTAATTAATTAATTAAATACATAAATAGGGCTGGGGAGGTAGCTCAGTGGTCTTGCCTGCCTGGCAAGTGCAAGGACTTAGGTACAGTCTCTGGTACTGCATGCTATACTGTGTGCCAGCCACCAAGACCCAGTGTGGTGGTGTGTGCCTGTAATCCCAGCACTGGGGAGGCTGAGACAGGAGGATCACTATGAGTCTGAGCTGTGTAGTGAGACCCTGTACTAAATACATACATACAAGATTAAAATAAAAAATAAAATAAAAAATAAAAAATAAATTAGGGGCATAAAAACCCTTGAGCAAAACACAGCATACACCGTTCTGAACGGTAGCCAGTAGCCGTGTGCACGGTTGATGAATCCCTACTGCGGCTCATCTGAGGCGAGATGGGTTGTGAGTGCAAAATAAATAGCAGATATGAAAGACTTTATTTTTTAAGAAGTAAAATAACTCAGTAAAAACTTAATGGTATTGACTACATGTTGCAAAGATAACAACTTTGAGTGGCTGGGTTATGTAACCTAAAATTAATTTCATCTGCATCTTTTTACATGGTAAAAAGACATGGTAACTAGAAACATTCAAACTCTGCATGTGTCTTTCATTATATCTCATTATTAGGCAGTTCTGGTCTATACCAGTTGAGATATTTTCTTATAGACATATACATGTAGGGGCCAGCAAGATAGCTCAGGGGTCTAAAGCGCCTGCTTAGGCAAGCTTAGGCAAGCGCAGGGACCCAGTTTGATCCCTGGCGTGCCATGTCAGTCCTGCCCCCAGGGCTGAGCTGGGAGGGGATATGCATGTATTTTTTTCAGTGAACTGAAAAAATGGCAAATTTCTCCATGTCCAATGTCATATACACTCTAAAGATTTAAAAAAATTTCCATCATCTCTTCACACTGGATAAAGGTTAGTTTTGATACTGGTGGTGATAAAACTCCAAAGTGCATCATCGATTGATACTTACACCATATAGCTTTTGGGCTTCTTCTCCAGTGAGTTTTTTTCCAAGTAATGAGACAAATAGTACAATAATGCCATGAGGAAAATGTCAAGGTTCTTATTTCTACAGAGAGATATGGGGAAAAGAAAGAAATCAATACTAACCAACTTTCAGTAGCAGGTTTGTCATAAAAGTCTGTATGGACACACCAAAAAAGAATACATAAGCAGAAATATATTTTATCCTGCCTATCACACAACTAATTTGCCACTTAAATTTTTCTACCATATTATTGAAGATTTAACAAATCCTTTTTTTTTTTGCAGAACCAGGGATTGAACTCAGGCCCTTGCACTTGCCAGGCAAGCGCTCATTCTACTGAGCCATCTCCCACAGTCCTTTTAATTTTTTACTTTATCTTTATAACTTTTTTTTCTTTCTTTTTTAAAAAATGTATTTAGGATAGTGCCTACAGGGTCTCACTACGTAGATCGGACTTACAGTGATTCTCCTGTTTTCAGCCTCCCAAGCGCTGGGATTACAGGCACGCCCCACTAAACCTAGACTCTGGCCGGCTCAGCCTGCCCTGGGGGTGGAGCTGGCACAGCAGGCTGCGTATTGAACCTCCCACCCCTGCGTCTGCCTGAGCAAGTGCTTTAATCTGCTGAGCTATCTGGCCAGCCCTAAAACTTTTGTTTTTAAAATACTTATTTATGGGGCTGGAGAGATGGCTCAGTGGTCTAAAGCACCTGCTTGGAACAAGCTTGGCAAAGCCCAGGGACCGCGGTTCGATCCCCCAGCACCACATGCCAGCCCGCCCCGCCCCCTGGTGGGCTGAGCTGGCCACACACACACACAATAAATAAATGTAATAAATAAAAATGAATAAATATTTAAAAAAAATAAAATAAAATACTTATTTACTTATCTATTTACCTATAAGCTGCTGCTGCTTTCCTGGCTCCCCCTGCGGCGCACACTGCCCTCATGGCCTGTGGTTGGGCCTGCCAGTCTCCAGGGCGCCGACTTCGTGTGAATGCACGCTCACGTGCCAGGGAGCGGGTGTAGCTCAGGGGTAAGAGTACTTGCCAGGCCCTCGTCACCCCCAGGGAGCGGGTGTAGCTCAGGGGTAAGAGTACTTGCCAGGCCCTCGTCACCCCAGGGAGCGGGTGTAGCTCAGGGGTAAGAGCACTTGCCAGGCCCTCGTCACCCCAGGACCACAAAAAAATAACCAAAGCAAGGGCGGAGCCACACACAGCCATGTAAAGGAAATGTTATCTATCACTTTCCTATTGTGTAGCTAAAATGCTCTGGAAAATAAGAATGCCCAGAGCCACTTTTTGGGAGTTTTGGCACTTTGGGGGACTGCCAAACATAATTACCAGAGCAAACTGTTCTATGATAAACAGGTCTCCCTGAACAGCTACACAAGAACAGTTCAGTCCGTAAGGGGCTCTTATGCCTGGCTTTCTGTACTCCCCACCCCAGCGATTCCTAGGACTTGGGGACTTGGGGCGCCTGTGACTCCCACCATCCTTGCTCAGACTCTGCTTGCTGCCTTTGAGGCTAGTTTCCGGGAGGTCGGCTTGCGCACAGCCAACCTCATGCTCTTTCTCTAAAAATCACTACTCGTCATTGCTTATCACATGAAATTACCCCACAAGGAAAGTGGAAAGATCCACCATAGCTCACAACACTCTATACCTCATAAATGTCGTAAAAGAACAGATCCGCTGCATCTCACTATCTTGGAGCAAAAACAAAGCAACATCTGAAAGAGGAGAAGATGGACAGTTGAAGGAGGGGCCAAAAGCGGCCTGAGAAGTTCACACCAAATAGTGCACGGGAGGAGGAGGAGGAGGAAGGGGTTAACTTACACTTAACATCGTCCAGTGTAATGTGGCCCTGCTGACCTCGTTTCTCTAAGGCCTTTGTCACCTCATCTCTTGAAGAAAGCCTTTTATCTGTCAACCTGTCATTGAATATAGGCGTCTGCCAGTGTTTTGTTTTTAAGGCTTTAGTTGTATCTAATCTAGCCTGCCATGCACGAAGCATTTACCGTAAAGTAATGGGGAGCCTGAGGATCATGCACAGGCTTCATCTAATGTAACACCCCTTAAAAATGCACTTTATTAAACATTGTATTTAGGACCAGGGAGATGGCTCAGTGGAATAAGTGCTTCCCTGGCAAATGCAAGGCCCTGAGTTCAATCCCTGGTTCAGCTAAAAAACAAAACAAAACAAAGCATTGTGTTTATTAGGGCAGGGGCAGAAGGCATGCACATTCCCTGATAGAAGATGTGACCCCAGGGCTGAGGAATAGCTCCACAGTGGGGTGACCACCTGGCACACACAGTGCCCTGGGTTTGGTCCCCGACCCCCTGCCACATGAAAAACAAAGCACAAATCCTATCCAAGATTTGCTCATCTGTTCTGGTATAGTTACCATTTTCAGATTTTTTTTTTTTTTTTTTTAAACTATGAAAAGTTGGTAGCAGACAAGTTTTCACAGGGATGCGTTGGGGGACTCTGTCACTCCACCCCAGTTCTGCAGTAGCACTTCTTTGCCCTTGGTGGCTATTTGTCTTTTTCTTCTTCTTCTTCCTTTTTTTTTTTTTGTGGAATTGGGGATTGAACTCAGGCCCTTGCACTTGCCAGGCAAGCACTTATTCTACTGAGCTATCTCCCCAGCCCCTTGATAGTTATTTCTCCTTGATGGATATTTCAACTGGGTATAAGTATAACGGACTGGTATCTTCTTAGAGTCTGGAGAGACTTAAAGGATTCCTGAGAGGAGCCATCGGCAGCCCCTGGGGAGGAGCAGGTAAGCCACCTTTCCATAGCCGCGCCATCCGCTTCCACAAAGTGCACCGCTTTGCCTTTCTTTCCTTTGTCCTTGAGTTCTAATGCGGGTGCAAAGCTGCAACAGAAATGAGGTAGTCAGCAACTTTGCCTCTTCCCAGGGAAGAGGACCCACACCAGGACCCCGGCTCACGCAACCCTAGGCCCAGTATCAACTATTTGTTTTGTTTTTAAATTAGATTTTATTGGCACGTTTTAGATGCACACAATGGTCACACTCATCATGATTTGTACTGGGACATGATCTAATTTGTTTTTTTCCCTCTCTCCCTATCTTCCCTTTAATCCCTCTTTCCCTCCCCATTTACAAAGCTTTGTTTTCATATTTTCCTTTTTTTTTTTTTTTAACTTGTTCCTTTTTTCTTTTCCCCTTTTGGACTACCATCAATTATTTACTTTGTTTTGTTTTGTTGAAACAGGGTTTCACTGTGTAGTTCAGGCTGGCCTTGAGCTTACTTTGTAGCCCAGGCTAGTCTCAAACTCGCAATGATCCTCCTGCCTCAGCCTCCCAAGTGCTGGGATTACAGGTGGGCGCTGGAACTAGCATCAGTTGTGAGCGGAGACTGAATCGCTTCAGTCCCAGCAATGTTCACTTCATGTATTCACATGTGGAACTGTTACCTAGAGAAAGATTAGATCTGAAGACTTTACATTCAACCTCTCTACCTCAGCAGCCTCCAGACCACTCAGACCACACACAAATACTTCTTTTTTTTTTTTTCTTTTTCCAGTTTTTGCTGTTGGTCCATGTTAGTCTTACATAATGATTACACTCCTGGTGCAGAGGTGATTGCAAGCCCATACCACATGTTAGTTCTTTTCTCATGCCCTTTCCCTCCCTGACTCCTGCCTCCATCTCCTTTTTTTTTTTTTTTTGTACCCAGAATTGAGCTCAGGATCTTGCACTTGCCAGGCAGGCATTTGTGCTCTAATTTTTAGATTTCTTCCCATTATTGGGCTCTGGGTTTTTTTTACAGAGGTTTTTTTTTTTTTTTTTTTCTTTTTCCAGTTTTTGCTGTTGGTCCATGTTAGTCTTACATAATGATTACACTCCTGGTGCAGAGGTGATTGCAAGCCCATAGCACATGTTAGTTCTTTTCTCATCCCCTTTCCCTCCCTGACTCCTGCCTCCATCTCCTTTTTTTTTTTTTTTTGTACCCAGAATTGAGCTCAGGATCTTGCACTTGCCAGGCAGGCATTTGTGCCAGTGAACTACATCTCCGGTCTTCCCTCCATATCTTTATATTTTTTTGCTGTACCGGGGATCGAACTTGGGACCTTGTGCTGGCAAGGCAGGACTCCTCCATCTCTTTTCAGCAGGTGGGAGTCTGAGGCAGGATCACTAAGAGTTCAAGGCCAGCCTGGGCTACATAAGCGAATTCAAGACAAGCCTGGGTGGGGGAGATAACTCAGGGGCATAAGCGCCTGCCTGGCAAGCGCAGGGTCTTGAGTTCGATTCCTTCATACTGCAAAATTTAAAACAACAACAACAACAAAACCTCCCTACACTCATAGTGAGACCTGTCTCAAATCCCACCCTCCAATAACAAGGGATCACAAAAAGCAACAAGTACGTAGTGAGTGGAGCTCTAAGTGTCAGGAATTGTTGTGACATCGAACCCAAGACAGCCTGAGTAGGGCTAATGCACAGACTCCCGGGAAGGTCAGCAGCTGCTAAGGGGAAGGCAGAAAGGCCTCAGAGAGCAGCACGTTGCCATTCCTGCCTTAGACTGCACTTTCCAGGGTAGCCGTGCTATCTGCCCAGTTCTCTGGCTTGGCACCCACTGTGGGTGATGATTTGTTTTTCTGCCTGAAACAGTGCTACCTGGATAACCTCTGTCCAAAGTTATGTGTCCCTCTGTGAAGCGTAAGTACAGACGCAGTAACGGAAGCACCGCCTCCCAACTTCACTCACCCTCTAACGATTATCAGTCACTTAGACCTTTGTTATCAGTCACTTAGACCTTTGTTATGGCCTTGTCAAATCCCACAAATGTTGTTACAGAGCTGGGTGCATGCCTGCAGTTCCAGCACTCTGGAGGCTGAGGCAGGAGGATCGCTTTGAGTTCAAGACCAGCCTGGGCTACATAGTGAGACCATCTCAAAATACGAAACAGCTGGGGATATAGCTCAGTCGCGCAAGCTCCTGAGTTCAATTCCCAGCACCAAAACTGAATAAAACTTTTTTTTTTTTTGGCAGTACCAGGGATTGAACTTGGGACCTTGCACTTGCCAAGCTGGCGCTTATGCCACTGAGCTATACCCCCGACCTACAAAATGAATTTAGAGAGCCTCCCTGTAAGAGTAATAAAATCAGTTTGCTACTCTGTTCTTCTGAGAATCTTTGCCACCCTCTTGGCAGTGTTCCTGTTGTATAAGAAGTTAGCTCCTAAAAGCAAGAATAGGGTGCCACACCTCAAGAGAATAATAATTTGTAATTTTCCTTCTCCCTTTTCTCTTTCAGACCGTCAGCACTGAGTTGGCCAGTGGACGATTTCTCAAGTTTTCACTCTTTCTGGTGGTGCTCTTGGTCTCTAAGGACTGTGTTCACAAGGAAGGGTGTGGCGGGGCGTTAGGGATGGGAAGGGAAGGAAACCAAGAAAGGGGAGGGCGCCAGATGCTACCTCAAAGGAGGTTGGGGAATTAGGGGAGCAGAGGAGGAGGGTGGTGATGGAGAGCTTGGGTTTCCATGTCTGTGTGCTTCTACACTATGCAAGTATTTATTTATTTTGTATTTTAGGGAAGGGTCTACAGGGTGTTCAGGGCCTCACTACTAGATTGGACTCCTAGTGATCCACCTGTTTACAGCCTCCCAAGAGCTGGGATTACAGGCGCACGCCACCCACCGCGCCCAGTCTCAAATCGCCATCACAGTGCGCACCTGGGGATCGAACTCCCGCCCAATGTACCTGCTTTCAGGCACTTTAATCAGCGGAGCTATTTGGCAGGTATTGGTGGAGCCCTTTATGCAAGAACTTATAAGGGTGCATTAGCTGATTACCTGTGTAACTGAGAAACAGTAGAGAGGTTTACAAGAAGAAACACCACGTGCTCAGTACCTTCTACTGAGAAACCGCTGAGCCCCCAACAGCATATTCGGACCCCAGAGCTGTAGGGCATTCCCACAGCTGTGCTCCTGTGTGAAGTGCACATTACCACCTCCTGTCCCTAATATGTTCTGGTTCATCCCCGGGCTAGGAAGTGTTCTGGGTCTCTTAAGCCAGCATCCATGACATTTGCCTTTCTCTTCTCAAGTGGCTGATACATTGTGACAACGTGAGAACTGAGAAGCTTAGAAGCTTACCTAAGTGACTGGGGGGGGGGGCAGGGTCCTCACTTTGTAAACATCCTGAGCTTGTGAAAAACAGGCTTGCTCCCCCCACCCCTTTACTCTTGTCTGCTGTCTTCTGCCACCCTGAAGGCTGTCCTCTGCCATGCCCCACCCCACACTGGAGCCAGTTGCTTATGGCCTGAAACCTCCACAAACCATGAGTTGGATGAACCTTTCCTTCATTTTGGGCCTTGTGTATTTCTGTTGGTTTCAGGTTTGGCTGGTTTTGGGTGTTGCGTGTTTTGCCTCATCAAGGAAAAGCAAAGTAGCTAAGACACACTCTGTATCTGTGACGGTCAGAGAAGACTGTGTCTCTCACCCACTCCTCATCCCTAAAATGCAGTTTCTTAATTTCCTAGTTTGCCTGCAACGTTTTCAGAGGAGGAAACCTTAAAATGAGGAATTTTAAAAGGTCTGGGACTGTAGGGGGGGGGGAGATCTGGGACTATGAACTAAGTAAATGCATTTGGAATTCTACAGTTCTGGGGCTAGGGGACACAACAGATATTTACCCAAGGCCGTCGCTTGGCTGGTGGAGAGCTAAGGCTTGGTAAGGCCCTTGGGCCCATGTTTGCCATTGGTGGTAGGTAGCACCAGGCCTTAGCCAAGAGCTGACATTTGCTGGCAGGCTCAGAAAGTCTCCCCACCAAGCTGGCTAGAGGGACAGAGGTCACTGTGGGCTCTACCAGCAGCTCTAAAGGAGCCAGTGCCCACAGTGCACACAGGCTGCTAGGGAGCAATGTCAGCACCTGCGCAAAATTGTCCCAGACCCTGCACTTCTGCTTGGTTCCCAAAATGTAGTTGGAGCTCATTTGCATGTCACAGGAGGCTGAGGAGAAAAGGATCACAAATGTAAGACCAGCCTCAGCAGCTTAGCAACTCTGTGAAACCCTGCTTCAATAAAAAAGAAGGAAGGAAGGAAGGAAGGAAGGAAGGAAGGAAGGAAGGAAGGAGGAAAGGGAAGGTTGATAATGTCTCAAGATCTTGGGTTCGAACCCCTGTATCAAGAAATAAAAAAGGGGCTGGTGAGATGGCTCAGTGGTCTAAAGCACCTACTTAGAACAAGCTTAGCAAAAAAGCACAGGGACCGCGCAATCCCCCAGCACCACATGCCAGCCAGCCCCGCCCCCTGGTGGGCTGAGCTGGCCACACACACACACACACACACACACACACACAAATAAATAAGAAAAAAAAAAGAATTTAAAAGAAAGAAAAAAAGACTGGCCTGATAGCTCAGCAGACTAACGCGCCTGCTTAGGCAGAGGCAGGGGCCAAGTGTTCCATCCCAGCATGCCGTGCCGGCTCTGCCCCCGGGGTGCGCTGAGAGGCGATTGAGACTGGGCCTGGTGACATGCGCTTGTAATCCCAGCGCTTGGGAGGCTAAAAACAGGAGAATCACTGCATGTCCGATCCATGTAGTGAGACCCTGAACACCCTGTAGACCCAGCCCTAGATACAGAGAAAGAAAAAGAAAAAGCTGGCAACAAAATCTGACTGGCAAAGACCTCAAGATACTGGAATTATCAGTCACAGAATGTGGAGCAAGTGTAACTAGTACAATAAGCACATAAAAACAAAGTGGTAACTCCTAACAGTGGTAGGCTGGTTGTCTTTGGGGATAGAACTGGGCAGGAATCACTTTTGTTACTTTGAATGTTTACATTCTTTTCTGTATATGTGTACAATTTGATAGTGAGAAAAATATAAAATAATGGAAATGTAGAATATAGTAAATTAACAATTAAAATATAGTCAATTAAAAACTTAAAAAGTACGTATGAGTATACCCCCCCATAAATATATGGGGTGGGTCAGAGAAGACGGAGGAGGGAGAAAATCTGAGAGCTAAATGTTAACATGTTAAAACTTATTCTTACTGGGTGAGAGTATCAATTTTTCACTTGTTTTTGCTTATTGGCTTGGACTGTTTTCTTTTTTCTTTTCTGTATTTAGGACAGGGTCTACAGGGTCTCACTGCATGGATCAGACTCAGTGATCCTCCTGCTTACAGCCTCCCAAGCACTGGGATTACAGGCACGTGCCACCATGCCTAGTCTCAATCACCTTCTCAGTGCGCCCGCCTGGGGGCGTGGGGGGGGACGGTGGCACGGAAGGCCAGATGATCAAACTACCAGCCTCTGGGGCTGCCTAAGCAGGAGCTTTTTTTTTTTTTTTTCAGAATCAGGGACTGAACTCAGGCTCTTGCGCTTGTCAGACAAGCACTTATTCTACTGAGCCATCTCCCTGGTCCCAAGCAGGGCCTTTAATCCACTGAGCTATTTTTGGCTTGGACTTTTGTTTTTGTTTTAGTACTGGGGATACCTAGGAGTACTCTAATGTTGTGTCACATCCTTAACCCTTTTTATTTTGAGACAGGGTCTCCCTGAGTTGTCTGAGGTGGTCTTAAAATTACAATCCTCCTGTTTTAGTCCCCAAGTAACTGGGATTACAGGTGTGTACCACCAGACCCAGCCACAGGTTTTTTGTTTGTTTGGGTTGGTTTGTTTTTTGCTATTTATTTATTTATTTATTTATTTATTTATTTATTTATTTATTTTTGTGGAACCGAGGACTGGACTCAGGCCCTTGCGCTTGCCAGGCAAGCACTTATTCTACTGAGTCATCTCCCCGGCCCCCTGTTTTTTGCTTTTTGAGACAGGGTTTCACTTTGTAATTCAGGCTGGTCTTTAACTCACTATGTAGCCTAGCCTGTCCTTGAGCTTGCAGCAATCCTCCTGCCTCAGCCTCCTAAATGCTGGAATTATATAAGCATGAACCACCACACTTGGTACCATTTTAAAAATTACTTTCATACACTTATTTCATAATTTTAAGAAGTTGGTACATTTCTTAGGGTTCTGCCCCCCCCCCTTTTTTTTTTGAGACAGGGCCTCACCATGTAGTTCAGGGGCTGCCCTTGAGCTCACTTTGTAGCCCAGGCTGCTCTCAAACTTGCAGTGATCCTCCCACCTCCTGCATGCTGGGATTGCAGGCCTGGGGTCTGGCTTTGATCACTTCACTTCCCAGTCCGGTTCTGCACCTGCCTTTCTTTTATAGCGCCAATTCCCACGTACTGGCTTCTTGACCTGTGGGGTGCAGGCAGGCACCTCCAGGCCTGCAGGTTTAAAGCAGCAAGCTTGTTGTCTTCCACAGCTCTCCTAGGTACACACTCTCTCCCTTGTCTTGCCAGAGCTCCTCTGGGGCCCAGACACCTCCCCGGGGATGGCTGCCCCATGTCCCGTCCACCTAACCCAACTAATCTGAATCTCACACTTGATGCCCCTACAGGAGGGGACTTCTAGAGCACAGATCCAGCCACCCGTGGTGCCTGGAAGGCTTTTTGGAGTAGGGCTGCCACCTCTGTAGCTTCTACCCGGGCCCCAGTCTTCTCAGATGCCCTCAGACTTCAAGGGGAAATCAGTCAGTATATTTCTACGAAATCTAAACAGGAACTCTTTCCTAAAATCCACAAAGGTCTGCTTTTTTCTACTTTATGAAGTCTCTTGGCAGGGGCACTGGACTTAATCTAATTTGCCTCGGCGAAGAGCAGCTGCACCTCAAAAGGTCTGAGCCTTTCATTCATTGTACCCCTTTCTCCTTCTCCCCAAGGGCCCCAATGTCTGTTGTATACACCACACAGTCTAGTTCATA